TTAACTTGAATCATTGATTAATTAAAAAATAATAAAAAAGGACATTAGAAATTATTGAAAAGGACAAAAAAATTATTGATCCTTTTATGTAATTTTTAAATTCCTTATATCTAATTTTTGGATCCTTTTTTTTGTTTGTTGTCATTTTTTTAAATTTTTGATGTTTTTTTAATCCGCTAATAGTCAAAGTTACCTTTTATTAACATAAAATAAATTGAACCATTTTTTAAAGTTAAAAAATAATTCATATAATAAATGTATTCATAATCTATAGTATTATTAGATATAAAATTATTCAAATGCTATCGACTCAACAGTACTATGAATCCTAAACATATTTACTGTGCAAATTATTTTTTTAATTTTTAAAAAAATTTAGCCCATGTCATTAATAAAAGATAATTCTAACTATTAATGGATTAAAAAAAACTTCAAAAATTATAAAAAAGACTCAAAAGTTATGAAAAAGGATCAATGAAGTTTTTTTTGTCCTTTTCAATAATTTTTGATATTCTTTTTTTGATCAACTAACGATCTAAATTAACCTTTGTTTATGGTCGAGGTTAGATAGCACTGTTTTTAAAAGTTCAAGAAATAATTTATACAATGAATATATTCAAGGTCTATAATGCTAATAAATTTTAAGTTTAAGGAGTAATTTGCTCATTTACTCCTTAATAATCTTATATAAAAATTGTTAAAATAAAATATTAAATATGATTATTTTTCATGTTTATTATTTATTTAATAATAATACAATATTATATGATATGCATTATATATTTAATAATAGAAGTAAAAAAAATTTCATCGAAAAAAGAAGGACAAATAAAAATATATACATTTTATATTTTATTATTTTAAAAACATATACTTATAAATACATGAATACTAATTTATTTTATATACACACACGTTTATTTATAATATATATTATTGTATATTATTAATTATTATAGGAGTGGGTTGAGATGAATGAGAAAAAGCGGCTGAGGGGTCTTTTCAAACGGAGGAAGAGAGGGTGGAAGTATAAAACTATAAGGTGACAGGTTATGCTCGATTTTTTATTTTTAAAAAAATTATTCAACACACAACTTAACTTGATGTCGACAGATGTCGATTTTGTAAAATTGTAATATTGAGGTAAATATTTTAAAAAGTATAATAGCTGAGTAATTTTTTTACTGTAGCATTTGGATAAATTTGCCACGAATATTAGCATGGATAAATAATCAAATTACTTTATAAATTTTAGATTCGATACCACTGTAAATCTTGAACTCATTTAATGAGTAAATTATTTCCTCAACTTTTTTTAAAAAAGTGCAATTTAACCCTTAATATTAATGAAAGTTAATTTTAATCATTAATTAATCAAAAAATGATAAAAAAACCTTAAAAGTTACTTTATATTTAAAAGCATGACCAATAAAAATTTCTCAATCCTTTTTTGTAATTTTTTAATTCTTTTTATGTAATTTTTGAATTTTTTTATGGTAATTTCTGGATCTTTTTTATGTTTTTGAAATTTTTGTCATTATTTTTTGGTCAACTAAATATTAAAATTAACTTTTATTAATAACAGAAGTTAAATTATATTATTTTTAAAAGTTAAAAAATAATTTATACAATAAATAAATTTAAAATTTATAATATTACTGAATTTAAATTTTATAAAATAATTTTTTCATTTATTCTATACATATCTTACGCTTTTTCCCCTTCAAAATTTTTCCAACGAAAGTTTTTCCCTTAGAACTGCAAACCCATTAAAAGTTACTTTTAGATTTTAGTAATTTTTTATTAAAAAAAATTGGCTATGAATATTTGGTCGAGTTCATTCAGCTCTCGGTTTCCTGTGTGGGGCCACACAATTAATATAAATGGTGGCCCCTGCATATATTCGTCTTCAAGCACCCTGCGATCTGCATCCGGTACTCTCTCTTCCCTCGGGAGTATTAATTATTAATTAATGGATTTAATTCTCGCATCTACCACTTTTCATTTGAAAATTCCATATATATCATTCCTCCCCTTTATAAATTACCTTTAACATATTTTATTAAAATTAAGAATAACGTTAAAACTTTAATAGTTTGACTACTATAAATGGGAGCAAAAAAAGAAAATTATGTAAAAATTTAATGATGTAATTTATAAATGAAAACAATTTTTTTTAATTTCATATGTGGTTTGTCTGATTAGAATATCTTAAATTATCTAAATAAAATCTTATATAATATTATTTTAATTAATTTTATTGTTATAATATAACGCATATTTGATTTGTTACCTAACTTTTTTTTTTCTACTATCTTAATATCATAATTGATTTATATTTAATAATATCTTAATGCTATATTTTATTGGATAAACTACAAATGATATGATACATTTATTCTCCATGAAAATTTCTCCATTTAAGGGAGGGTAAAAGAGAAAACCTTTTCTCTCCAACATTTAATGAAGGATAAAAAATTATAATAAAAATTTAATAATATAAGTTATAAACAAGATAAAAAAATTATTATATCTCTACTTTATAAATAAAATCGGAGGGCCTTCATGTCTCTGTTACAAAATATATCTAATCACTGTACCAAAATTGATAAGAGTTGATTAGGTCATCAACTTTGTCCCAAAAGTAAAATTTTAATTTTACCCATATTTAAATAAAATAAGTTTAAAGTTATATTATATTTACTTTTATAGTTAATGAATTTAAATAAAAATAATATTAAAAATTAAAAAATATAATCAATATCTGGACAAGTATCTTATATTAAACAGTTTTAATCTCTTTTAAAAAGGCACTTAATTATAATAAGCACCAATGGAAGTAACTGTTACTGTCGTTGGATTTCACGATACTTGCTGCTTAGCTAGGCCCCACATGCATTTGGGCACTTTGGCTAACTCTCTCTCTTCATCACATCAATCTAGTCTCTGGTCCTTGCTGGGGAGAATCACAGAATAAAAATTAATAATAAATTATATTTAAAAAAATAAGTTATATTTTTATTTTAACAATAATAAGTTTTATATTAATTTTTATCTGTAATTAATTTCTTTGACCAGTGACTTTCCCTTTTTACTATTTAATTTATCTTAAATTATAAGACATTTTGTCAGTTACTTTATAATTTTATGGATTACTTACATGTAGGCATGAATTCAATAATTGACTAGCATCCCAAATTATAAAATCTTTTTTACAAAACTTAGTGTTTGTAATATAAAATACTTTTTAAAAAAAATAAGGTTTTATTAATGAGATTCTTTTAAAGCTATTATTTTTATTATATTCTCTCTTTAATATTTTTTTATAAATAAATTATTAAATAAAATTTATTTTTTATATTTTTTATTTTAAAAAAATAAAATTATAAAATGTATTTATTAAAATTTATTAGTATATATAATTTTATTTAAAATTGTCTTATAAATTGAGATAGATGAAATTTTATAAGAAATCTCTAATTATCTCACCACAATCAAGAAACTTAATTAATACTCTATCAAGTAATTTGTAACAAATACATCAGTGTCTTTTAGAGTGTGCCATGTAAAATATATAATAAGACTAAAAGTATACATTTAGTCTTTTAATTTCATACAATATTTCATTTGAATTCCTTAATTTTATAAAATATTTTTTTTAATCCTTTAACTTTAACGCTGTTAGTTTTATCCCAACAAGTTTTTATATTAAATTTTTAAATATTAATAAAATATTTTTAAATATTAGCATATTAAGTTTAATTTTTTAAGATAATAATGAATGACATTTGAAACTAACAACATTAAAGTTAAGGGATTAAAAATCTACTTTATAAAATTAAAGGACTAAATTAAAACTTTATATTCCCTCTATTAAAAAATGTAAAGCATTTTTTGAGGTTTTAAATTTTTTAAGGGGTTGGATATTAAAAAATATAAGATATTTTTAGTCTTTTAAAATTTAATTATTGTTTTTTTTAAATTACCTCTATTAAATAAATCACTCTATGTTTATTTTAAGGTGAAATACTCTATTTTAGAGTTAATGAGCTTAAATAAGGGTAATGTGTCTTTATGGGAAGGACTGAAGGAGTAACAAGTATATTTGACTCATACTAAGGTAAAAATTACATGGATTCAAATCCTCTACCAAATTGAGAATTTAATTGATAGAAATATTTTATTTGTAAACCTTTTTTTGAAGGGTAAGGCCAATTACACATCCCACTGTCAAACAATAACAAAGTCTTTTAGGGACAAAGAATAAGGTCGGAAGCTTTTTAATGTGTCTTCACCTAATGCCTTTTCTAATGCACATTAAAAAAAAACACACACACACATTTGAGACCTTCTTCCCAAAACAAAAAAATAAGGTGATAATTCAGGCTTGAGGAGGCAAGAAACATAATATCATGGGACTCTTACTCTCTTTTAAAAAGTTGGCAATGGGATATGCAACACACACTTGTTTATATTTTATATCATTGGAATTATTTTAAAATTCTTTTAATATAGAATGTAATAGCTATTCCAATCAATTCATGATATCCACATTATAGATGAGTCACCAAAAAGACCAAGTAAACTTGGATTAGACTTTGATATCATTTCATTATAGAGTTATTGGTTTGTTTTAAAAAACTAATTTAGTAAAATGTGCAGTACATTCGTCTATAGAGCTATGATCCTCCCAACATTCTTTTTAATGTGGGACGTACCAACAGGCTGCCAAACAATACAACAGATCCCTTCTTCTTCTTCTTCTTTTTGGGTAACCCTTTTTTTTTTTTTCCCCTTTGTGTTTTTGTTTTGTTTTTGGTAATAGAGCAGAGGATCCCATGTCTGGCCAAACAGACCTGTCATTAATTTCTAGTATTCTTAGCTGTGGCTTTCGCTTTCCCAATCTGTGGGCCATGCACGTGTTTAACCCCACCCCCTCCTCCCTCCTTCCCTATATATCCCCACCCCACATCCTCCCGCACTGCTCTCACAATCTCTCTCTCTCTCTCTCTCTCTCTCACAAGTCTCCATGGCCATAGCTGGGAAGCTGACGAAGCTCAAGTCTGCCATGAAGAGGTGGCCCTCTCTCTCTAAGCTCAGCCGCTCCAACTCCTGCGTCTCCGCAGCCTCCCGCGACGTCGCCGCTATTCCTCACAGTAATAAGGACGTCCTCCACCCCGTCTACGTCGGCCGCTCCCGCCGCCGCTACCTCGTCCCCTCCGACGTGGTGGACCATCCTCTGTTTCAGGAGCTGGTCGACCGGTCCTCTTCGGCCCAAGATGGCCTTGTGGTAGCCTGCGAGGTGGTCTTGTTCGAGCACTTGCTGTGGATGCTTGAGATCAGCACCGAGACCCTCCTTGGGTCCATGGACGAGCTCGTCCAGTTCTACACTTGCTCCTCAAACTGATCCCATTCATTATTTGACGAACTCTTACTCAACCAGCTAGCTAAGTCGGCTCTTGTTTCAAGCAAAGCAAGGAAGTGTTATGGGTTTCTTCTGCTACTGCTAATTAATTAGTTCATTACTACTTAATTTGATGAACCTTTTCAATTTATTTGCCACTGCTTGTTATGGCTGCAACTGCAAGCAACTAATTAGTGGTGTAATATTCGAGTCGAAGCAATTGTAATTATTGTGATCATTATTATAATATATTATGTTTACCCAATTCATTTCTGTCACATTAATGGCTGGCAATTACTAAACATTCTTCCTTCTACACTTTATTTACCGAGCAAAATAAGTTGCTAATTGCACAGATAATTTTAAAATTTTAAAATTGTGACGGTTATTAAAATTTGTCGTTGTCCTTAAATATCAACAGAAACAAACAAGCAAGCAAATTTGATGCTCCACATATTCTCCAGCTCACTAGCAATCCTATGCCAGGCACTTTTTAATTCTGCACTAAAAAAATATAAAACATACTTAATTAGTTCGTTGATTTGGATGAGATATTTTAAGTAGATATGTCTTGCTTCCATCTCTACTGGGTTCTCCTGTATAATATTCCTCAATATATATTGTTTGTCTCACTTCTTCGCAATGATTAATATATACTTTCGTTTGAAAATATAAATATCTTTAATCAAATTTTATCCTTTAATAAAGTAGTTATTTGTTTTCATACTAATCTTATCTTTTTATATTTATCCCTATTAAACATCCTAAAATAAATATAAAGTCATTATCAAAAAAAATACTTATAAAAAAATGATAATTATATTTTAAAAAATTAAAAATATTTTATATTTTTTAATATCTAACTTTTTAAAAAATATTTTATATTTTTAAATGAAAGGGATATATAAATATAGAGCATATATATAATGTGATTAATTATAAGTCAAATAATGCTACTATTGATCCATGTTCTTAATTAATTGCGACACAGTCAAGGGTAGGGGTCTAAAGGTCAAAGACGGGGAAAAGGACGAGCCTTCTTGTTTAAATTCAACTTGAAATCCGAATCAGCACATGTGTGGAATCATGAAATATAACGTGGCAAACAAAGAGAAATTAAAATTTAATTAAAAAATAATAATAATATTCTTTTAAAATATTTGAACGATAATTTAATTCCTCAAAATATTATAATTTTTTTAAATTTTTTATGTTAATGAATTTATATAAATTATTAAATTATCCTTGTTAAAAATAAATGATTCACAATTTTTCTTCTTATATTCGTAACAATTTAACAATAAATAAAAAATTTAACATGTAAAGTTGTGATTTGCTGTTATATTGTTACAAATTTAAAAAAAATTATAATATAAGAAGAAAAGTTGTGAATCATTTATTTTTAATAAAAAAATTATTAATTTATATAAATTTATTAATGATAAAAAAATTTCTAAAAACTTCAGGATAATTATAACATTTTGAGAGACTAAATTATTATTTATATATTTTAAAAAATTTTATTATCATTTTAATTAATTACCTAAGAGTGCGAGATTGGTTTAATCAGTGAAGTGAAATAAATCAGTTAATTTATTTTAAAATATTCAATTTGAATTCTACAATATACACTTATATTAAAAAAATGTATTAAAAATATTTTTGAAATACTTATGAGATTATTGTTGATAATACTGATTTCAGAAGTCTGGAATAATTCAAGCCGAGTAGTGATAATGTTCCAGAATTTTCAAGATCCATGCAGGACAATGAGGAAAAACAAAAAAATACTTCATTTTTTTAAAAATATAAAATATTTTTAATTAAATTTTATTTTTAATAAAATAATTATATATTTTTTAATTAATTTTATCTTTTTATATTTACCTCTATTAAATACTTTATAATAAATATAAAGTTATTATTAATAGAGATATTTTAAAAAAAATAATTACACTTTAAAAAATTAAAAATATTTTAAATTTTAAAATATTTAATTTTTTAAAAAATATTTTATATTTTTAAATAAAAAGAGTAATAATTAATGAAGAAGCAAACACAAGTAAGGAATGCTTTTTGATGCAAACACTAGAACGAAAACCTATGCCGAAATCACAGGATCCAGCCAGGCCCCTCCTTGGTCCACCTTTTCAGAAGCTGGAATAGGATTTGATGCTTTGAAGATCACACTTTTTGTCGCTTTGCTTATTAATTAAATTACTATATGTATATATGGCCATATGGGGATGCGTTACGTTGAAGTTAAATATGATTAAAAAGGATAAATATTTAATCAATCCTCAGGAAATTGCCTACCAAATATAATCATCATGAGTATTTGTTTGGCTGTAGCTAATAGCATTGGCGCGGTTGACACAAGGCAATGAGCTGGGGATAATATCTATATATAATAATTACTACTCATGTCCATAAGATTCTTGCGAATTGCTGGGTTTGAGTCCCTGAGTCTACATGAATATATGGCCTGTTTTACAATATATTTTGAAAGCAGTTTCCTGTTATTCAAAATAACAAAATAAAAAAATTTTTTGATAATGTGTTTTTAAAAAATTATTTTTAAGAATAAAAAACGAAAATATTTTTTAAGTGTTTTGAAATTATTTTTATATAAAATAAGAAATAATAAAAAATAATAAGAAATTATTTTTGAAAAAAAATTATTTCAAAAAACAAAAAAAAATATTTTGATGCTTGCTTAACTTTTTTTTTTAATATTTTAGAGAATTTATAGTGTCTTGATTAACATATCAATAATAAAATTATTAACAATGAAAAATCTTGTTTAACTTTTGTTTTTTTAAATATTTTAGAGAATTTATGTCATTTAGACTTTTGCAATTATTGACAGCAAGGGCGTCATTTCAAAAATATTCCTAGGGCCTTCTAGGAAATTAAATTTGTGATCTAAGTCATTTTTAGCCATTTTTCCTTATTTTTAATGGTTTTATTTTTAAAATAAAGTATCTCTTTAATTTCTTGCATTTTCTATCTTTGCTATCATCAATGACATAATCAATTTATTTAAAAATTCTTAAGAAGATTGGGTGTACCATGACAGTTATAATCCATATAATAAAAACATGACATTTAGATTATATTAAATATAACTTGATTTTAATATTAATGATAATAGATAGAAAAAAGGCAAGAAATCAAATTGCATTAAGTGTTTTGAAATTATTTTTATAGAAAATAAAAAATAAAAAAAACACTCATTTTTATTATTTTTTATTTTCAAAACATACTCTGTAAAACATTAGGTCCTATATTTCTGGCTGGTATATTATGGGGCAAAATATTTGATTTATTAGAATACTTAACTGGTGCCTAATCGTTAAGCATTATTTTATGAAATTTTCAAGGTTATTTTTATTTCAGTTTTACCTGCAGAATCGGTCATGTTGCAGAGTATACAGTTTTCGGAAGGATTTTTTTATTTATTGTTTGTGTCGCTTATAAATTTCAAATTATAAACATATAAATTAAACATGCTTTCTTCTAGCTTATATACTTATTCTCGATCTGGTATTAGTTGCAATGTCAGATTTAAAAATCATTAAATCTAATTATAAATGTATAGTTTTACTAACATAAATTTTTATTCACAAAGTTTGAATCATGCACCTTATTTAAGCGAAGTCAAGTCCATTTTCCATTTGACTCCACCATTGTTGGAATTTGACATGTTTTATCATATATAAAAAATGAAAAAAAAAGATGCATTATTTTAAATAGCTAAGTTTGTTATAAATTTTAAATGTGATATTAATATTAATAATATATATACTGATGTGAATTGAGAATTTAACAAGTTTAAGGGGTCGAAATCCAAGGACGAATAGACAAGTAAGTTGAATTACTTCTCCAGATGGAGACAGGTATACGGTTGAGTGTATGCCTATCCAGTTCACTGCAGGTTGTTTGTTTTTGCCATGAATTTCTGGGGGCTTCGCCCACAGGTTCTTTTTGTGGATTCTTAATAATCTTTTTTCAACCGTTTCTCTGTCATTCTTGTTGTTCAGTTTAATTAGTAGCAGTTTTGTTTTATCATGCCTAAATTTATGCTTGGATCCAGTGGCATGTAAGTTTTCGCGTACAAACATATAGTAGGAAGTTGCTGGCTCAATTCCATTTACAACCTTAAACCATTAGTATCTGCACTTCATGTAATGTACTCCTTTTATAATTTATAGGATACTTTTAAATAAAATCACACATATAAAAAAATTAAATACATTTTTATTTTTTAAAATAAAAATATAAACTTAAAAAACCATTTATTCAATACTCAATTTGTAAAAAAAAATTTAAAGAGAGAGAATATAATGAAAAGGGTAATATTAAAAAAATATCATTAATATAATTTTATTTTTATGAGAATATTTTCTCATTTTAAAATGTTGAATTTCTCTAAAAAAACAAAAGTTCTACGGATTGGGATGGAGGTAGAACTCTTGGTAAAAATGAGATCTCAAACTTACCGCTTGTATGGTACTCCCTGATCAGTGATCCCTCTCTCCCTAATGTCTAATTGCAATTAATGTGTCAACAATTTGTAGCAGTTTTTTTGTGATACTTTTTTAAATTTAATTATTGAATTACTGACTTTTAATCATTTAAATTTTTTAAAAAATGATGTACTAAATAGGATGCTATTAGTGGGGATAAAAAAAAGGCAGACCTTACTTGAATAGGCCTAAATATGTAACAAAGGCTTAAAAACTTTAACCTGTATACATGCTTGTTTTTATGTCAAGATAGCCTATCATAAGCTCGGGTGAGCTTGAAACAATTTTAATTTAAAGGCCTACTTAGAAAGGCTCAAGAAATAGATTTTGAAGAGCTTCCATTAAATTTTAAGCCTATTTAAATCATTAATAAGGCTCAATCATTCAATGAGGAGAATATAAATTACAATATGATAATATAAATCAAATGTATTTAACATGTGAATAAAATAATATATATATATATATATATATATGAATCAAATAAAAAAAGCTTAAATAGGTCAAGCATGTAGACTTATGGGCCATGCTTTGAAAAATAGGCATGACTTAGATATATTTAGCTAAAGAGTCTTAATTGAATAGAACAAGCCCCGGACCATCTAATGCATTTCCATCCCTAGCCTATAAAAATATATATATATATATATATAATATGGTGGATCGTAGCTGATGGGGTGCTACACTAAAGCTCTGTTTGATATGCATGCCTCAATTTTGAGATATTGGTAT